ACAGAAAAAAAGTACCACCCAGCAGAAAATTCAATGGAATCGCGTTTAAATGCAACGCCGACGAGATGGTCGCGTTTCCTCCCTACGTCGCGTAAGGGAGGAAGCGCAGAAAGGGGGGCAGGGAGAAGGGGAGAGGGAGAGGGTGAGAGAGAGTAAGAGTAGGAGGGAGAAGGAGAGAGAGATTAAGAGGGAGAGGGAGAGGGAGAGAGAGATTAAGAGGGAGAGGGAGAGGGAGAGAGAGATTAAGAGGGAGAGGGAGAAGGGGAGTGGGAGAGGGAGGAGAGAGAGAGAAAGAGGGAGAGGGAGAGGGAGAGGGAGAAGGGGAGTGGGAGAGGGAGGAGAGAGAGAGTAAGAGGGAGAGGGAGAGGGAGAAGGGGAGTGGGAGAGGGAGAAGGAGAGAGAGATTAAGAGGGAGAGGGAGAGGGAGAAGGGGAGTGGGAGAGGGAGAGGGAGAGAGAGATTAAGAGGGAGAGGGAGAAGGGGAGTGGGAGAGGGAGGAGAGAGAGAGTAAGAGGGAGAGGGAAAGGGAGGAGAGAGAGAGACAGATAGAGATAGAGATAAAAATAGAAATAGATACCGGCAGGGAGATTTGGAAAGGAAATGGGAAAGAAAAAGAAAGAAATAGAAGCAAAGAGAGAAGGGGGGGGGGAAGTAAGGTAGAGAGGGAAAGAGAAAATGAAAAAAAACGAACGAAATAGAAAAAGACAGCAACAATAGAGCTAATTTTTGGCCTCTAGAATAAATACCGCCTTTTATTTATTCTATTTTCTACTGATGTACTCATTATCTTCTTTATTTATTTATTTATTTATTTTCTTCTTTATTTTATCTGTTTATTTATTTATTTTCTTCTTTATTTTATCTGTTTATTTATTTATTTTCTTCTTTATTTATCTGTATATTTATTTATTTTCTTCTTTATTTATCTGTTTATTTATTTATTTTCTTCTTTATTTATCTGTTTATTTATTTATTTTCTATTTTATTTATCTATTTATTTATTTTCTTCTGTATTTATTTATTCATTAGTTTTTTCTATATATGTCTGTTTATTTATTTATCATGTTTATTTATTGAAAAGAAGAGGGAGATTTGGAAAGAAAAAAAAACGAATAGAAACAAAGAGAGGGAGAGAAAGAGAAAATGAAAAGAAAAGAAGGAAGTCAAAAAAAAAAGAAAAAAAAACTGCAACAATAAGACTAATTTTTGGCCCCTAGAATAAATACCTTTTATTTGTTTTATTTTATTTTAGATGTACTTTTCTTCTGTATTTATTTATTAATTTCCTTCTATATTTATCTGTTTATTTATCTATTATCTTCTGTATTTATTTATTTATTCATTCATTTTTTTTTCTTTCCTTATAACTCCTTTCTCGACTTTTTTTTCAGTTGAAGTCCTCAGTCCCTGAAGATATAGGGAGCGCGGGCGACCCTGAGGACAGTGAGGATCGAAATCAGGTATTGGAAGGGAAGGGGAAAGGGAAGGGGGAGGAGAAGGAAAGGAAAGAGAAAGAAAAAAAAAAGAAATGGGGAAATAAAAGAAAGGAAGAATGTTAAATAAAGAGAATGACAGAGGGAGAGGGAAAGGGAAGGGAAGAAGGAATGGGGAAATAAAAGAAAGGAAGAATGTTAAAAAAAGAGAATGACAGAGGGAAGTGGAAAGGGAAAGAAAAAAAAAAAAGAAATGGGGAAATAAAAGAAAGGAAGAAGGTTAAAAAAAAGAGAATGACAGAGGGAGAGGGAAAGGGAAGGGAAGAAGGAATGGGGAAATGAAAGAAAGGAAGAAAGTTAAAAAAAAGAGAATGACAGAGGGAGAGGGAAAGGGGAAAAAAAAGAAATGGGGAAATAAAAGAAAGGAAGAAAGTTAAAAAAAAGAGAATGACAGAGGGAGAGGGAAAGGGAAGGGAAGAAGAAATTGGGAAATAAAAGAAAGGAAGAATGTTAAAAAAAGAGAATGACAGAGGGAAAGAAGAAAAAAAAGAAATGGGGAAATAAAAGAAAGGAAGAATGTTAAAAAAAGAGAATGACAGAGGGAGAGGGAAAGGGAAGGGAAGAAGGAATGGGGAAATAAAAGAAAGGAATAGGATTAGAAAAAGAGAATGATAAAGGGTAGAGTATAAAGAAAAGGGAGATATGAAAATAATATAGGAAAGGAAAATGGGGGAAGAAAATAAAAGTGGAAGAGAATGGTAAAGGGAAGGAAGAGGGGAGAAGAAAATGATAATGGAATTAAAAGGAAGGGGGGAGAAAAGAAGAATAAGGGAAAGAAGAGGGGGTGAAGATAATAAAGGAAGATAAAAGAGGAAGGAGAGAATTATAAAAAATAAGAGAATAAAGAAGGGGGGAAGAGAAAGATGAAGGAATAGGAGGGAAAGGAAGAAAGAGAAAAAAATAGAGGAAGGAAGGAGGGAATGAGATTAATGATGAAATGGAATGAGAAACAGAACTGGGAAAAGGAGAACATAATAAAGGGAAAGAAGAAGAGAGGAAGAGGCGAG